AACACCCAAGCAGAAAAATACACCGCGAGACACGCCTTGCGAGATGCGCAGACTGAGCCCAATGGAGTGCCGTGCGGCTTGGGCTCCCAAGCAGGATTCTGGAGGCTCGCTCAGTCTCAGTGTCGCTGTTGTGGTAGCAGCAGCTCCTCTTAATGCTCTCAGTTAAAAGCTCTCTCAACCCCTTATGCTTCACCCACAGCTTGCCCCCAGGCCTTCCACCCTCATTTGAGAGATATCACCACCATCTTTTGATGTGTTTGACCTGGATGAAGACTCAGCTTCCCCATCCGAGTCCCCCGGCTTCCCCTGGACTCAGCTCCCCCTGGATGAAGACTCAGATGGACCGAAGATTGTTGTGTGCCCATTTTGTATTTTTTGGGTGCATTTCTTATAATGCAACTGAATAAATATATTTACAATATGTTTTTATAACATAATAAATAAAGTGTTGGTTGAAAAAGGTTTTGTTTTGGTACCTTTGATATCATAAATGCGAGGTCTAAGGAACACAACCCCTCACTTTTCTATTATATCCTATGGGAAAATTCACCTCGAGTCGCACAAATTCGACATACATGAGGTTTCTCAGGAAGACAATATACACGTAAGTCAGGAGTCTACTATAATATACTACAGGAATCAAACATCTACTATAACTTATTTTAATTTTATTTAAAAAAAAAAATTTGTTGTCCTGATTTATGTGTGTTTGCATAGTGTATGCAGAGGTGATTACATAATAGCTCAAAGCACAGTCTTACTTTTGTATATTGTGTGGGGGCAAGGGGGTGTATGTGCATGGTGGGGTGTGGAGGGTGTGTGTATGTGCAGTGTGACTATGGTGGGGGGACTGGGTATGGAGGGGTGTGGTTGTGGAGGATGTGGTTGGGGTGGGGGCTGTGGAATGGTGTTGGGTGTGTGCGTGGGTATGGTGGAGGGGTGGGAGTGTGTTGGGACTGTGGGAGGGTGTAGGTGTGCTGGAGTATGGGGGGGCAGAGGTCCTTGGAGTCGCTGGAGTGCGCCAGTCCCTGGATCTGCACATGGTGGCAGCCAGCAGGGCCAGCCCCATCAGGCCCGATAGCAGCTCCCGTGCTCCCACCCGAGTCCTCAGCCACACATGGTGGCAGGCACGAGGTCAGCCTGGCCCCATAGCACACGGCCCCCTAAGCTCCTGCCCCTTTCCCTCAGTGGGAGTCAGTGGCCCCAGCCCAGTGGGGCCCTTACCTGAATCCCCTCGCAGGCAGGGAGGCTGGAAACAGCCATGGAGTCACCAGCAAAAGCCTGTGCCAGGAAGAAGCTTCTCATCTCTAGCACCCCCTAGCACAAGACTGGGGCAGGGGGTTGCTTAGCAACCAGAGCTGCTGGCTTGCAGAGAGGCAGCCCAGGGCTCGGCTTGCAGAGGGCTTAGGGAGGGGCCCCGGATGGAATTGCCTGGCAGGCTGGATCCAGCCCGTGGGCCATATTTTGCCTGCACCTGCTCTAGTGTCTAGTCTGTAATGATCTGGGTCCTGCACTGAATAATGACAACTATGAATGAGGAAGAGAACAGACCTTTAACGATATCACAGCATGGGCTTCCTCTAGCACAGACCATGTAGCTGCCTCCATCTTGATTTCTCCTTATTCCCCAGGGATCATGTTCAAATTCTTCACATGATAAGACATTCCTTTGTAAGGGACTGTCTCCAAAGTCTAACCCTTATCACTACATAGTCCACCCCCTGCCTGGGCCCTGGCCAGACCCTCAGGTACAAGCTGCGCTTGCAGAGCCCACAACCGAAAACATCTGCCAGGGGGGCTCTGCTGTACTGCTGGTGAAAAAAGCCACCAAGGGCTTGCTGCAGCCAGCTCTCTCCCCCTACCCCACGTTGCATCAATAGGAAAAGCTGCATCTTAAGACTGAGGCCTTCCACCTAAGGACTGCAGACCACTCCTTTAACGAACAGGTAAGGTGTGATTATGACATGAATGAGAATGGCATTAATTTGCACACTAGATCAAAAGTGCTGCTTCACCTCTGCTGACATTTTCTTGACGTTAGCAAATTAGGGTAGACCCACAAAAATAATCTGGGTACTGCAATGACTGTAGCTGAGAACTTCCAGGCAGCTTGTTACACAGGCTACTCAAGTACAAAGCACCTAAGCTTCCTAGACAGGTTTAGCTACCTAAGAATGGGATCAAATTAAGTAAGCTGAGTGGGGAGTGGCTTCAAGCAGTAAAGTTAGGGGTGGGGTGCCTAGGGACCTTAGTGTCTCTTTGCACTTGGGATTCACAGCCAGGAAGTGTCTCCTGGAATTAAGTGCCTAACTGAGACCTTCCTTGTATAACATAGGGAGTGCTGCTAGTAGCCTGGTCTTTTTGTTTGGTAACGCAATGTGCAACACAGTCACATGGGAGTGCTGCTACACACTGGTGGGGGTAGGGGAAGAGGCAGTAATTTTTGTCTCAGGCACAGACATTTTTAGAAATCCAGAGTGGCTGCTTTTGCTTGTCAATGGACTAGAAATGGCTTTTTTCATAAAAAGGAAGAATAGAAAAAGTTTTATGTTGAACTTGCTTAAAACTACAGAAACAAAACTAAAACCCAGTAATGACCTTGAATCCTCCAACCACAAAAGATACAATGGCATCAAATACAGGGAGTCTGAATTTGTCCCGAGTCTGAAAATTTGTGTAGGCTGCACTGCTTGGCAGAAGACCTAAAGGGGGTTCAAGGCCACATCTCCCATTTCCCAGAAGAGTGTTCTTATTCCCTGAATACAAAGCATGTGGGAACTCCCCCCACCAAACTTCTGCTGAAGCCAAGTATGGGGGGAGAGAGTTGTTAGGCTAGGGAGAAAACATAACTTTAGCCCGTGGTGAGAGCATTTTTCTTTTCTGGTCGCCATACCCAGGACTTAGTAAAGTGGCAGTTTGAATGGGAGGAGTGGGAAGTGCTTCTTCCTGAGAACAACCTGTAACCCTGTTGGAAGGATACGTACCACAGGAAGTTATGGCACAATCCTGGGCCAATGGGGAGGGAGGCGAGTCCCCTTAGGTTGAGAAGAGCATATAATCCAGGTCTTTTCCATTAGGTTCTACTTGTCAAGCTACTGAAACAGAGAAACATAGCACTTCTTCCTCCAATCATATTTTAAAAGACTTACCCTGATCCTTTTTAAATAAGTGTGCATAAGAGGTTCCCAAGTCCAGGAGAGAGGTCTGGGGGCTGGTCTGACAGGTGTCTTCTGCAGCCCAAAACTCAGTGTTTAAATCTTTGAGATGGAATTTAAGATATACTTTTCACATCAGCATTCCTCCTTGGAAAGCTTAATGGCTCTCTCATGAGCCTGCTGGAGTTTATATACCAAAATGGTATGAATAGGACAACCTAAGTGACTAAATCAAGGTTGTGGATTCCACTTGGTTGCCAAGCAGCTCTGCTACTTCAGTGCCACGGTTCTCCTTTTTTATGCTACCTGCCTTTAAGCAGTCAATTTCTCTAAGCTCAAACTTCCCCTAGTCGTTTTTAGTGAAGCTTCCTTTTCCCATGAAGTTTCAACAGGCCATTTTGGGTGACTTTTTTTACATGGCTTCAAATATTCCTCTGATGGAGAAGATTAACAGCTCCATTTCTAACTTGTCACTGAATCCAATGCTGAACAGCCACCCTCTTCTTTTCACATCAAGTTGAACATCTCCCTTCCCAAAGCCTTTCACCTATTACTGACACTGTCATCATCCTGCCAAAGGGTGATCTTTACTTCACTCCTACCTCATTTCTTCTGTTATCAACACTGTACTGAAATAAAAAATGTGAAGGAAAACCTTATTCTAAAAATCTTACTTTGTTACAGCATTTAAAAACCTCTGTTTAGGCCCTAATATTCTCCTCCCAATCTGATGTTTACAGCTGTCATTCATTTTCAGATTTCTAAAATCTGTGGCTGCTAAAAAAATCTTCATTGTTCCAACTACGTACTTCAGGAGTCGCTTATTCCCCTTTTTCCACTTCCAGTCTTATAAATACATAACTCTAAGGGCTGAGTATGATTTCATTGTCTAGTTTTATCTTCTGCACTACTATTTTTTTTAACTTATTTCCTTCACCATTCCATCATTCCCATTTCCCTTGCAATGTAACTTGCTTCGTTTTATCAACAGAATACTATTTTGATGCATTTCTGTGAACCAAGGGAATTGCTGCAGTTGAACCAATTTTCTCCTACATGAAAGGATTTCCAGGGTCAGTTAGCCAGCTTCCATGTTGTTTCTAATTCATGTCTACAGAACAAAAAGCTTTACAAACTACTATTTAAAAAACAAAACAAAGCAAAGCAAAACACTGAACCTCGTATCAAATTAAACTGATTTAAGGTATGCCTGGGTATAGACTTAACTGAGCCAGTTTTAAACTAGTCATAAGTACTAATAGCTGTCTAGCTTTAAGCTATAATGGAGTACAGCTCAGTGTAAAACAGGCTACTACTAGTAGCAGAGAAAACTAGTTGATATGACTGAACTATGCCTTCAGCATAGAGGTCTTGTTACTACTATTTTTGAAGCTACTTGCTCAGTCTAACAATTAACTTGGAACTGTTTTAGCATTACTTGGCATATGGAAGGTCAGATGCATACAATTAATCTATACCCAATGCTATTAAACAAACTGAACAGTCAGGTTTAATGCTTAAATGACACAAAGTTCAGTGGTATTACAGTTGTCTGTCCAAGCAATATATGTTTTATCAATTTCAAAGCAACTTCTTCAGTTGTAAACTTTGCAAAATAAACACCATGATTATCAAGATGCAGGATCTACAGCACCTAGCCAAAGGCACTGATGTCAAGTTTTACTTAGGATAAACAGAGCTGCTTGCTTTTCTAAACAGGATGAAGAAACATACCACTGAGTCTGTTAGGATGATTAGGACCCTGTTCTCTCTTATGGAAATGCTTTTTGCCTCTCCCCTACTTCCCAATTCCATGCCCACACAGGAGTGTACAAAGATCTCTCATAGCTTATGACACGCACCAACAAATAAAACTTTATTGAATGCAATATCAGGCACTCCGTTTCATTTCTAGGGAAGAGTATTTTCTAAAATGATGCCCTTTAATATTTCCTAAAAGCCATATTCTAGCTATAGAAAAATTCCCATGTCAGGAAATACCCAGTTTCAATTCATCTTGTTTCAATTAGGTAGGGCAGGATAAATTTAAGTCCTTCTAAGAGGATGATCATTTCTAGTAGACACCAGAATGAGACATATGCAACTCGTTTTTGATTGTTTCTACTCCAACAGTCTATACTTACCCATCTAGAATGAGGATGCTTTTTATTTAAAAAAATCTGTATAAAAAGTGGCATTTTCCTTATTCTTTCTTAGGTAAATGCAGCTGAAGGCAATTTTTCATTACCATTTTCCAAAATAATCATGCTGGCCATCTGCATATTTAATACTATTTCCACAGTTTATCAGGTCATAAAGCTTCAGTCCATTAACTTAAAGGTGTAGATATGACTCTCTTTTGGTTTGGAATGTAGATCATAAGTCCTCATGTCCAGGAGAAGGCGGTGTAGTCACTGCTCTCACTTCTTCCTCTCCTGTGAAAGCAAGCACCTTAGTTAGAATTATTTGTTACAACCAGTACTCTGTGTTACTTCCTGATTCTGAGAACTCAATAAAGAAAAAATAACTTGGGTACTAAGAAATAAACAGTACTGAAAGATAAACTGGGGAACTGCCAGAAATATTCTCTCTTTGAAGTTTATGAACTGGGTAGAAGGCTATAAAACCTTTGCTATGTTAAGTTTTCCATTTCTTGTGTTCTTAATCTTTTTAAATACTTTTTAGTTATGGTAAATCAGCAAATACTCATCTTCAGGCTACTGCTTTTCCCTCCCTTTTTATCTTCCTCTTATCTCATTTCCTGTCTCTACATAGGTTTTCTCCTCTGAGTTTCATTCCCCCTAGCAACTACAATTTCATCCTCCCGCCATCACTCATGTTCTAAAGGAACTAATGAGAACACACTCATAGTGGAAGCACTGCTATTTCCATTCTAAGCTCTTGTTTTCAATGCTTTATAGCTACTGAACTTTCCAACTTCCAAATGCATAAGCAGTGAGGCAAGATCCTTAGGAAAACAGCTTTTCAATTACTTAAAAAGCCTAAATTGAGTGGGGGGAGTATGACACTTCAAAATAGGGGTGCAGCAACAAAGATTTTTAGGGGCTGATACCAATGGCTGATTATTGACCAGTCATATTGGCCAATACCGATCCGATTGCCAAGATGCACCTGGCAGCTTGGAGAGCAGCGTCCAGCTGGTAAGTCTGCTGGGGAGACGGTACGGGGGAAGGAGATTGATAACCCCACCATGAAAAAGGTAGTGGGGCTGAGGCTGGGGCAGGTGCTACACAACTGGGGAGCGGTGGGGCACAGCTTGTCTGGGCGGCACAAGGGGATGGCTCCCACCGCTGCACACCCCCCTGGGGATGCATGAGGAGCACATGCCCCCTAGATCTGTGCACAGGGTGAAAGCAGGTTGTCACTGCGTGCTTGGGCATGCGCTGGGTTCTTCCTGGTGAGGGGGCTGGCCAGGGCTGTGCTTAGGGCGAGGGTGGTGCTAGGAGGGGAGCTACAGGGTAGGCTACAGCCACCCCAAAATTCACCGTAGTCCCCCTTCCCAGCACCACTGCCACCTGCCCTGCCCACCCAACCTGAACACAGCCTCCACCCCAGACCCCAACGTGGAAGAGCCTGGTGCAGCCCCAGCCCCAAGCATGCAACGGGCAGCCCGCCCTCGACCTGCACGCATATCCGGGGGACACGCCTCCCCTGGGGGTGTGCACAGTAGAAAGAGCCACCTCCCACACAAGCCGCCCATGGCTCCAACCCACACCCTGCCCTGCAGCACCTACCTCTACCCCAGCCCCACTCTCTCCCTCACTATGGGGGCCTCAAATGCCCATCCCCTCCACCTCCACAGACCTACCACCCAGACGCTGGTCTCTAAGCTTCCAGACTACACTCCTGGCCTCGTGCATGTTGCAGCTGCGCATATGCACACAGCATTTACTGGCAACGTTATCAGCCACATCAGCCAAAAAAAGCCAATTACATCAATTTTTCTTTATTGGTGCCAGTACGATATAGACCGATGTACTGGTGCACCTCTACTTAACAAGCATGTTAAGAAATGCTTCTTTCAGCATTCTGGTGAAATCTAAGTTAATTCCATTACCTCACATTACAAAACATGCAGCACAGTTGCATTCTTTAAGGTTTACTCCAAAGCATGGGTAGATCTAGGATTTTGCAGGTGCCCTCCCTCATTATTCCCCACTGCCACTGTCTCAGGGGCAGAGTAAGCTCCAGAGCTGCTCCTGCCCTGTTCCAGCTGAGCTACAGAGAAAGATGGGCTCAGCCACAGCAGTAAATAGGTTCTTCCTCCCTGAACCTGCTCCCAGACTGGACAGGAACACCTAGGGGGACAGGGCAAGGAGGAGGAACCTGTCCACTGCTGCAGTCCCAGGATGAGCCCAGCTCCCCATGCAGCACAGCTGGATTGGGACAAGAGGAGCTCTAAAGCTTCTCCTACTCCTGATGCATCCGGAGATCACTGCAGTAGCAGGTGGGGGAGGAGGTTAATGAAAGGAGGGAACATACTACTGAGCCAAGGGGAAGGTGAGCAAGGGGGAAAGGGGAATGTAGCAGCACCAGTGCATTTCTTCTAAAGACTACATAAATAATCAGTGTATACCTGCTTCTGTGGTAAAACGTACTGGAAGAGTGTAGCTCAAACCTGGGAAGGATGAAGGAGTTTAAAGATGCCTGTTGCAGAAAATCATTCCCACAGATTTAATGACAGAAGAGGCTACTGTATAGCGAAAGGGAGCTCATGCAAGCCATAATTTTTTACCTGATAATTCTGACTTCAAGCCTGAAAACTTGCAAGAACAGTAACTTTTTTCCCTAAACTTTGCGATTCCATCTTAGACAGGTTTGCTGCATTAAAAGTTCAAGTGGGAAAGTCTCTTTCAAAGCAAATTCTATACGTTAGTTCCAAGCTAATTTTAACCCTATTTCAAGGTTCAAAAGTACTTATTTTGGCTGAGAAAAATAAATGAGCTCTTCAGAATAAGATACTTCTATTTGTAGGAGTTTCTCAGATTGTATACGTTCCCCACAACTCTCTCTCTCTGAAGAAATACACAGACTGAATTCCTTAAGTCTTCTATTGTAAGGAAAGGTAATTTGGTAAAAAAATATTTTCAACACTTCATGCTGTTCTTTGGCTCTTTTCTGAACTTCCATCAGTCTTTCAGAAAACTGGAAGAACTCTGGTTTGGATTTTCTGACCCCTTACACTAGAGGCTCTTTCTTAAGCACCTCCAAGGTAGAATTAAGCCAAGTTAGTCTAAATTAGTTCACAAAAAGCATTTTTTTTAAATACACAAAAATTTCCAATTAAATATTTCAGGAATATATATGCATTCAAAATAAGATAGGAAGAAAAAAAAAACTTCAGACAGACTGAATTCAATCCTCGTGTTCATGAATTAAGATGAGGTTTAGTTGCAACTTCAGTCTTTTCCTACAGCTTCAAAATTATTAATAAAGCTCAGATTAATGAGTTTGCAGCCATCTAAAAAATACACGTTAAGTTTGTTTAGCTAAATTGGCTACATAGTCCACTGCCTTATGCACTGAACTGTGGTTGTGAGAATGTGCTTCTGATCAAAAATGGTACACTAACGGTGACAAATATATAAACACATACCTTAAAGGAACAATAAAAATGAATTAGTGCAAGACAAAAAGAAAGCAAATATTTTGGAAAAAGACGTTATCAAACTTGCTTCTTATCTATACTAATGTCCTTTGCACCAATCTGGAAGTGTAAAACAACCGTGACACTCAAACCTTTTTAAAATGCCAGACTGGTGTAAAATTGCTTTTAAGAAGTGATACTGGATCAATGAAATAAATACAATGCATATGCTTAGCGTGAAAGCTTCAAAAACAACCTTACATTTTCCATCTGCCTGAGCATGGCCAAGTGAGCTAAACTAAAGTGGGTTTCAAACGAATTATGTAAGGTATATAAGGTTTATATATAAATAAAAAGCAGAATGTTTACTTTGGGCAGGAGAGTGGGCAGGCCAAGAGAAGGTAGTCAAATAAAGTGCTCAGTCCAGAATGGGTCTGAACATTAGTGGTTCTATCTACTGGTTTGACTACTATGCTGAAGTTTAGGGTGTAACCTATCAAAAAGGTAAGACAGCTGATGTAGTATGTTCATGTGTATGAGTGAATCACGGCAAGTGTAATTACAGCTTTCCTATACCCCATGGATTATTTATGCAATGTACTATTTATTTATGCCAAGGGTGCTCAACTTCCAGCCCAAATATTAGATCCATCCTGCAGAGCCATCTCGTCCAGCCCATGGCTCCCCAAAAGATCTGGAAAATTTCACAGCAAGGAAGCAAATGGCAGCTGCCAAATTTTTGGACCTGAGGGAAGCCCTATGGGCAGGCTAATGTGGCCCATGCACCAGATCACAACGGTGCACAGCCAGATTGGGATGACAGGTCACTTGGCCTGCAGACCATTCTTATGCTATTGGCAATCTCCGTGCAAGGTACATTGCAGACCAGGGAGAGGACAGGTAGCACAGCAGTAGATAGGGCAAGGAGGAGAAAAAACAAGCCTGCCTGGAAAGTACAGCGTAAGAACCAAAAAGCAGAGCATCGGATTGAGCAGTGGACTCAGGGAGTCCGAGAGGCTTGTTTGTGGCATGTCTGGCAAGAAGTCTGCCCTCCCCACTCCACTGTTGTAGGTCATTGTTACTTATATCTGGGAGCAACTCTTCTTATTATAAGCTACTTAAAATAGGTGGACCAAACTCCTACGATGAGGGAACGATGGGTGGGTACACATGGTTGACCTAGGAGTGCCCAGGTCCTTACAGGACACAGCAGCCACGTCTACATAAGGTGTTGACTGGGCTGTAGCCCATGACTACTGAGCAGTGGTGCTGCATGGCAGAAAGCTGCGACGTGACACTACTGCACAAGTCTTGGGCTACTGCGCAGTCAGTGTTACAAAAAAGCCATTTGCTGATGTTACTGCACAGTAACTCCAAGTACTAAATGACTGTGCAGTAATGACTGAGCTCTCAGCATCCCGAAGACACAGCCAGTATCTTCAAAAACTGTACGGTAGTTGCAACTTTTACTGTAATCTGTTAGACATCCCCACTGAAGTAGATCTAGAACACTTCATTTTGGGCACTGATTTAAGAAGCCTCTCACCTGCTTTTGTTTGAACACATGTTCCATCTTTTTCTTCAAAGCCTTCCGAGCATATACACTTGTAACTGCCTGAGGTATTAATGCAGTCTTCATTTTCTCTTATACATACACTTTCGGCAAGATTACATTCATTCATATCTGAGGAAAAAGTGGTTTTAAAACATTATTTCAACCAGTAAAAACTTTGTACCCAGCCCTAAAAAAAACTTAATATAATTCAAGGCATTTCTAGCACATGAATAATTTATTGTTCCTTAATACTATGTCAGGGAGAAATGCTATCCCCCCCAGTACTTGGCTTTGCTCAGGAACCTTTGGACTTAGGGGTCAAATTCAACCTTCACCTCATGGTGCTGGATTCCATGTTCCTTTACAGTCCATGGAATGTGGTATAAATTCACGATTTATTATCTCAACATACATCGACCTCCCATTTATGTCAATGAAAGATCTGCATAGATAGCAAGATGATATTACAGGCTACGTAGTAAATTAAGCTTTTTTGGAATCTTACGGTGATATTCAGTTGCCAAGTACCTTCTTTAGGCCCCAATACACTTTAATTCCGTTCCTCACCACTTTCCATCTTCTCTTCTATTTTTTCCCCTAATAACTGTTATTTCCCCGAGGTCTCATTTCCAACAACTATCATCATTACATATGTTTTTGTATCATTTATCACCACGAGTGGAATATTTTTTTTTTGTTGATACTGAAATCTTATTTAAGTTTGGAATGACACTCCAATGAGATTAACAGGAGATAAGGAATCCATGCAACACATTTAAGGTATCTGTCAGATCCCAATGTGAATCAAGTCTAAAAAGTGGAGCTAAGATTCTTCATGATAAAAATGTTATTCAGGACAAATCATTAGGGAGTGTTTGAATCCTGTGACTAAAGTTTTTCTGTCACTATTTTCCAAGCACTTAAATGTAATTGTTCCTGGTACGAGTTAAACAATGCTTTGCTCCTTTTGTAGCAGTGCCGAGCTTTTAGGCCTTTAACAATTTATACAGTGTTTATTAGAAAGGGTTTTTATTGCTACTCGAAACAAAAGGAATACTTTAAAACTTTTATGAAATATTTTGTGTTCAAGATTTGAAGCAGACTAACATTATACTCAACACTTGGACCATAAGATACTGAAGCCACAAGTTTACTACAGTATACTAAGTATGACTTCAAATTCCAACCAACCTGTGCACTTTTCATCTTCCATTATGTATCCCGACATGCAGTCTTTACATTTGCCAGGGCCTTCGCCTGTGCAGCCTACACAGCTAACATCACATGCTAAAACAAAAACCATAAGTGAGTACTGGAACATAAACAAAAAACTGTAACCTGAACTAAGCTGACAAATCCATGTGCACAAGGAAGAAAGAATTTCAAGGCACAGAACTACTTTCATCCTGTTCATACTACCATAGTGTCTAGAGATCCTAGTCAGGATTGGAACTCCAATACATCTGGAATTTTACCAGTAGAATAGTCTGTATCCAATTGAGCTTTCAATGGGCTTTTGTTGTGCATTTAAATTTATACCTTAAAATTCAAATTCCTCTGCTTAAGAACAATTAATTAAAATAGGAAGAAACTGTGTTGTGGAGATTACCAATTACTGAGCTAAAGAGCTTCAGCTATTTTGCAGAAAACTGGCTGAGGGTTTAACAAGGCAGCAATGTCAGTTTACATTGTTTTTGCTCTATTCACAAGAAAACGTTGAAGTTTTCTCCCCACCCCTAACTATCCAAGTCAAAAACAAACAGAGAATTTTTCACCCTCAGAAATGTTTGTCCGAATTATGAGCAAGCAGCTAGCAGCAGCTAGTAATATTTCAGGGGTAACTATACTTACTACCACAAATACAAAAAACTGCAACATAAACAAAGTTCTGACTTATCACCTAGCCATGATATCTCACAAACTGCACTATACAACTACTATTGTGTATTCAGATTCTGAACAGCAAAAAATTCTAATAATTTGAAAAAGTACACTGGCTTATCTGAAGGTCCATGACACAAAATGTAATTATGAATAGGATGCAAAGAACTACACACTTTAGCAAATTCTCTTTTAACTTGCATTTAGGATGGAAAAATATTTGTTAATATGGGTATTTTACAGCAACTTTCATTCTTATTTAGCAAAAGAAAATAAGAGCATTTGCTCCTTTATGCATAGAAGTAATTCCATATATTGGCCAAACATATTGAGAAGGACACCTTTGCATGAGAAAGATCCATCTGTGTTTAAACAGTATTGGTCATCTTTGCAAGGAGAAGCTTCTGCAGCACACTCATCCACATCTGAAACAAAGAGGTATAGGTCAGCTACAAGTGTGAAATTTATTTAAAAGCAAAAATAATGTTCATCCACACAGGTTACAATAATTTCATACAGGCCATAATGTTCTATAATATAGTTGCCCATAAAGGTGTGGCAGCAGCTGAAATCATCAGCTGTCCTAATGGGGCCATATGATTTTTCTTACGATGCAATTTGAACAATATTTCTCCCCACCAAATATGGGAAAGGCCATTTGATGTACCGATCTGATTGGCAATCCAATCCAACCTGCTTAGTATTGCCAAAGGGTGTTCCATTTTCTTTTTATGGATTTAATTTTTTTTTAATTAATTACGTAAGGCTGAAAAAAAAATCAGGACGTAATCAAGAACTTGTCGCCACCTACCAAGTACAGACCACTATTAATACTGCAGCAGTAATAACAGAAAATCCTGATACTAAGAGTTAAGTGTGTCACAACCCAAAGGGTGTGATTTTTGTTTGTGTGCGCTTTGGCACTGCTAAATTGTCCCCGCTAAATTACAGCTTCCTTGCACGGTGGAGTTTTCTGCTGCAAAAGAGAACCCCGGTGCAAGGGAGAATTTCCCGCCAATTTGAAGCTTTCTTTGCAAGGTGCATTTCTTTGTTGCAGCACAGAAATGCTCGTTGCAAAGAGTTCCCGCCATTTGTATGCTAATTCGAGTCCCATTATTGGCCAGTTCTAAATTATTCACACGTGGTGGCTAGTGATTGGCTTGCTAGCCGTATAAAAGGCTTGAGTGGTTTCCGCCCAAGTTGGAGGACTCCACGAACACTGGGAGGAGGAGACTTCACGCTGTGTGAAGATCTCTAAGTGCTGCGGATCCTTATGGACCCAGTGCATTTAAAGCAGGCAACGGAGGTCTGATCAACCTCTAGCCTCTCCCCGTCGCCGAGCACAGTCCAGACGTATCCCTTCCCGCGCGCAAGAGAACCGGACCCACGGAGCCTAGCAAACTCCGTGTGAGTGAGTGAACAGAAGAACCCACGGAGCCTAGCAAACTTCATGTGAGCCCTTACGACCGGCCTCAGAGCTCTTCTACCCGGGTTCGAGTCCTGCAGGTTTATTTTTCCCGTCGGCGAAACCCTTTGCGACGTACCCTCATATTTTTCATCTTCCCGTCGCCGGAACCCTATGCGACGTACCCTCGTGCCCTGCAGGTTCGAGTTTTGTTTTGTTGTCTGTCTGTAACCGCAACTTAAGCAAGCTTTCCAGCCTGCACCACTGCCATCTCGGTGTAAGTAAACAAACTTTAAAACTACCGATACGCGTTTGTGCCTAATTCCAGCTCGACGGCCTTCCCTCTCCGACCCGGCGTGCCCGGGCTGCTGGCCACAGCCCGCGTGCAGCGCGAAAAGGGCTCGGGTCGCTCCCGGCCCGCACAAAGTGCTCAATATTTTGTATTTCAGTGACCCTTGAGATGCTTATAAAAAGAGATTTTTGTCTGTCTTTCTAAGAAATTAAGCATTTAAAAAGTACCGTGTGATAATTTGCATCCAACAATAAGGAAAAAAAAAGTATAGCTGGCTTCTATACAAGATCCTCAAAGAAATATACCGCCAAAATATATCCGGTAAACTGTAAAGTAGTATGGGAAAGCTTCTCATTTTTCTGCACAAGAAATAATCAAATCTAAACAACTTCATACACACTAATGCCACATAAGGTATTTTAACTAAAATTTAAACATGTATCATTCAATTAAGTTATACATGTCACTGCAGATAGTCTGACAGAGATAACAAGCTAATTGCTTGCTGTACTTTAAGAGTTGTTAAATAAAGTGAGAAATCCTATGTTAACATACATATTAGAAGTTAAGAATCAAGAAATATGATGTACAGGACGCACCTAACCAGATTCCCAGAAAAGTAGCATAGGACAGGGGTAGGCAACTACCAGCATGGTTGCCAGTGTGGCACATAAAGGCATTTTGTTTGGCATGTGTGCCTCAAGGCAGACAGCAGGGAAGGGGCCAGGGCTGCACTGCCACAATAAGGATTGGGCCCCTTGCGGCTGCCCCCCACACCTGGCCACAGTACACAAAGATCTCACAAGTCGAGGTTGAGGGAGTTTTTGGCGTTCTGCCCAAAAACGTTGCCCACCCCGGTATAGGGTGCCCTTATAGAAGAGTTTTAACTCGACGTGGCCTTATCTCATCATCGAGTTAGTACCAAAAAAACCCAAACAAACAAAAAACTGTTTTCTTGGCCTTCATTTGGGTTAGGACTGACTTACCCACACAAGCTGCTTCTTCGTTCATGGTCCAACCCTCTTTACAGGCCTCGCAATCTTTGTTAGTTGAACCAGTGCAAGTTTTACAGGCAGCATGACAAGCTGTGGAGAGATTTTGAGCATGGTTAAAGTTAGATACAGCTGGTGTATGTTAGTGTTTCAAACAACTTTTTCCTTCAAGAAATTATACCAGGTTTACCAGAAACTGCAACATGACACTTGCATTCTTTTTTTATTCTGGAGAAGTGGAAGGAAGTTTACCAATTTTATATAGAAGCCATTCCCTTCACTACCAAAGCACAGACACCTAAGGTGTGGAAAAGAACATCCACTTAAAAACAGCAACAGTAAAATAAAGCCACAGGTTTTTTACAAAAGATAGAGGTGTTTGTAGAGATAAGAGTGTGAATTCAAGTGAAACAAAAAACTAATGTAAGCAGAACAGTAAAAGCCACATTAGAAACTGGCAAGTACAGATGGGTTAGTGCCATTCTGCTTAGAAAAGTGCCACGTGATTCTGATAACTGAAAGCCATCAGGAAAAATTTAATCTGGAAAAAGACAGTTCTTTGGTCAATTCCACTGTGCTGTGGCATCTGTCAAACACTAACTCAGCATCTCTACTAAGTGAGTCAACAAACCTACTTTATTTTGTACCTATTTAGGAGACCATAGTTTGAGGTAATATTGATATCAAGGCATGGCAAAACATGCTATAAATCCAAGATTAAGATGTGGTTCTTTTGGATATGTTTGTTTACATCATAACGTCAAGCAAGTCACCTGGAAACACTGCTACATAATTACATTATAAAATAGTGTAGTTAACATTGGGACGCATCTACACGAGGCACATTACTGACCATTAGCTTAATTTAATGCACATTGCAGGCGGGTCTCTACATATCTATGCCCTTAACGAGCATTAAAAGTGGCAAAATTAGGCCTAAATTTGATACCTGCAAATGTAGGTATCAAATTTGGCGTGATTAGTTAAAGTGCATTAACGCACATGTAGAAGTGACCTAGCACTAACTTTAGTGCTGGGTCTGCCCAGCCACTAGGTGCACATGGCAGGGCTGCAGCACTAACCTTAGTACCAAATCCCTGCATATGTAGACACCTGCCAAAAATTGCTTAATGCACATGAAATTTAGTTGCGTGTACATGCATGTGTACACATGGCCATTAAGTAACATTTTCATTAAATGCAATACTCAGGCTTTTTATCTCCTACATAAGTTTGCTTTGGGCTGAATTGCAAAATAAAAAGCTGGATATAACAGTATTTTAATTTGTAAAATTTAAAGAGCCAAAATACATTTTATCAGACTAACAGAATGCAACTTCACAACTTAACGGAGCTTATTTTAAAAGAAAACTTTGGTTGCATCTGATATATAATGCAGTTAAAGTTCATTTTTGGCTAAAATATCCAAGAAATAAGGTAAGGCAAAAATGAAACAGCCTACTACATGGGAAACGGCTCAAGATTTCTTGAGTCTCATCACGTATTAATACTTCATGTTGGACACGAATAAAAAAGGACAGTTCAGAAGAGCATGCCATATCCTCAGAGACTGCACCACCACAAGAGAAGCAGTCCGAATGACTGTTATGCCCAGCTGTTAAGACAAGTAATCATTCCCATCTCTCTCATTTCTTGAAGCTTAATAAATGTTTTATACTTTGTTTTAGAAACCTGTAAGTTATTCAATAGTTAATATGAAAGAAATACAAAGATACAAGCACATGTCAAACTTAGTTACCTGTACAAACAGAATGCGTTTCATTTTTCAGAGTATTGTAATAACCATCAGAGCAGTCTAGACAGAAGTCTCCTGCATACTCCTTGTTACAACTACATGTTCCATCCCCACTTCTAGTGCCATCTCCATCACACTGGCCATTTCCATGGCAAGGCCTTTCTGACCCACCGCGACAAGCTAAAAAAAGGCAAAGATAATTTAGAATGATTTAGTGGGGGGAAGGGAGGGGAGCAGAATGGGGAACCCCTTGAAATTTAGCCATGTTTAAAATGAGTAATATTTTCTACTTTTTTTCACTTACCTCCTCCCTCCAACTGTTACCCCACTCCACTCTCCAACTGAAAACTCCAAACATTTAAAGGTGATTTTGTGGCTATGTAACTAGTACCAGTATGAAATGACTAGCGCTGCGTTATCTGATAACTGGAGTTCTGAAGGAGCAAATTTTGGTTCCTAAAAGAACTGCTTTTTCAGGAAAGCAAATTAATTTCCCAGCTGGAATTCTTTCAACCAGGGTCACCTATTTAGCAACTTGCATAACATTAGAAGATAAATGAAATACTACAAATGAACATATCGCAAACTGCAGACAGACAATTATTTTAAAGAACAAGTCAATTCTGTAGTTAGATTTCTACTCTGACACCCCTTTATAGGGTCTCCCTGGCCTATCATTTAATAAAAGGGGGCAGAGGTATTGCTCTTTATGCAGAATCACTTGATTTGACCCATTCCTTTCATAATCCACCTTCTTAATGAATCAGCTACCAGACATGCTTCCTCCAGCACACTCTACCTGCCCCCACTCCATTCTCTGTGATCCTCAACTATGGGTTTGTTTGCTTCTTCGCCCATTAGACTCCAGGCTGCTGTTCTACTGTCGGCTCAACTGCTGCCCTTCCCCCTCCCCCTCCCGCCACCTCATTAACTGCTACCACACACAAACACTTCTGGGTAGTTCTGGTACTCGTAATGTATCTGGTAAGTACAGATACTGGGGCCTTTACTATTCTTCTTTGCCTAATCCCCCACCCCAAGTTACTGCTGCTCCTGCTTATCTCTTTGGATATGGACTTCACCAGCTTCACCAGTTAGGAGACACCAGCAATATTCAATTTAGTAAAACAGTTCAGGAAGGCCAGGCCAAGAAAATGGGACAAAACTGAGTTAACAGCCCCACAATTAAAAACACTACATACTGTTAAACTTAAGAAAACTTAAGAGAACATACCAAGGCAGTCTGGTCCATAGGTTCCAGTAGGGCAGCAAACTTCAATAGTTTCTATACAAAACCACTTAAATAAGTCAGGATACTTCTTCTTTCTGTATAATAAAGATATTACATTTCTTCACTATAGGAATCATTACTTAATTCACCAGATCTCAATTTACAAAATATGCAGGGTCACACAAAACTTTAATCATTTCAGCGAGTGAACTTTATCTTCCGGACTCCCATCTCTCCTTTCTATGTCCAATAACAGCTTTGTGTAGTTCTAGAACCTGAAAAAAGTCAGGAGTGATTTAGAAGAAAGCTAGTGTAATCATTATATCTTAATTGCTTGATGACTAGTTGCTGGTTGCCAAAATTTGTTCCCTAATCCAGTTGTTAAATTAAGTTTTGGAGAATAATGTATTATTGTTTACTTAATTTTTGTAGCTTATATTTAATATAAAGAAACAAGAAATAAGAAAGAGCCAGCTGGAGTGCTCCCTTGGTCTTTTTTCCTCTTAATATTACGGAATATAGTGTGGACAACAGCAAAAATTCACCCTAACTTTGTATATACAGCAGTTTGACCTTCTTCATTTTTGCATGCCCAATACAGGTAAAAACAGCTATAAGAACATTAGATTTCCTTAAACGTTAAGTTACTGCAGACCTCAGTACCTGAATTATATTAAAATATATAACCCCAAGAAGCCTACACAGATGCACTCCAATTCAACACTCATTTCCTTTCTGCTGTATTCATTAGTTTTGAGAGTAAAAACATACGAGAAACCAGACTGAAATTACAAAACATGAAATTTTACTCTGTTGAACCAATACAAATAGAAGAGCAGCTTCAATAGCTAGCCCCAATATATACAGGTATGCATAAAAAAGGTTTAGGTATGACCAGTTTCAGTTTGAGGACTTGATTCTCCTACTGCAGGAAACAAAGAATTCCCGGTCATTTTAGTGAACAGAAAACCTACTGAAACCTACAACGGTAATTGTATAATCCTCCAGGAAGATCAGGGTCCCAGGCTATTATTTTTATAACAAGAATTTCTGCTTCACTCTCTCTCCATCTTGTTACAACTCCAAATTACTGCAGACTACTTAATCTTCCATATGGTTAAAATCATTTTTTAAGTTTTCAGAAAGAAAAAAAAAAACAAGAGAAAATTATATATTGAAAAAAGTACTTGTGAAAAGGACTATAAAATTTATGTGCAGCGATGAACATTTGTCATAGTCTGGGGACTCACCCATCAAACATGTAAAATTTACTATCCAAGAGGTCACATTTTCTCAGTGACAGACAGAATGTGCAGAGAAATAAGTTATGCTTTCTTATATGCATATGAGAACATATTTGTGCCACTACTAGTTGTCCTCAGGCATGCCTCTGCGTGTGTGTTCTGGCGCACAGCACAATTGCCACAGGTGGGGTAGGAGAGGCTAGAGCCAGTACTTTGGCTTGCCACAGCAGCCTTACCTGGGGTCCTGGGACAGGAGAAGCAACCATCCAACCACTTGAAGCCTGGCTGGTAACCAGTGTGGCTCTGGCTGGCCAGGCTCCAGTTTCAGATGGTGCACGCTGAAGTCACATGCGCTGCGCTGCTTTTTTCTGTTGTGGGGGGTTTTTTTGTTTGTTTGGTTTTTTTAATACTGGGATTTCCCAGCATCTAATTTTGCTGCCCTGCTGCAAATATGCAACATGACAAACAGAATAACAAACATCGTGTACATTTTGCAGTGCCTCAAAAGGCTTTAAGGCACCGCAAACCACACTTTTGTGCTTGTGGGGACATGGCCCACAGTGCAGCTTGTACTACTGATGTAAATTTGATTTTCCAGGACTGGCAGCTAATTTTTGAAGCAGTTTGAAGAACCATAATCTGGTCCTCAAAGGACATGAAAGTCTTTTTAAAAAACATATCATCGTCAGAAGTTTTACATGCATGCCTTATGAGAGAATGTAGAAGTCCCAACTAATAATCGGAAGGGAGAGCGGCAACTGAAATGGCACTGAAGAATATTAGAGAACAAGTAACAACAATAAAAAGTGTAACAGGGAACAGACCCTTTGACTAATGTATAAGTTAGTCATAATTTCATAATTTCCAGGTATAGAATCTAATCATTGGAGGTTTGCTTTTAATTTGTCCCCCTCCTACTGCTATAGCAAGGAAAATAAGTCAGGGGGAGAGAGGTCAGGTAGTCCCTCTGTCCTCTGCCTCCTCGTCTAGCAGCCCCTTCTTCCTTTCCTTGCTGTCAGACAGCTCTCCCTAAGTACATGGAAGTGAGACACAAATTTGAAAACAATGACCTTGAAATTAAACATGGCTGTAGCAATTTACATATAGTACCCATAAACTTAGTTATCCAGAATTTATACTTTTTTTTTTTTTTTTTTTAAATATTCTTGCAAAGTTTAGCACAGGTACTCTATAAACACACCTTTACGTATCACTTGTAAAAAAACAGTGTAAACTTTTTTTTTATTTTATTATTTATAATGTTGTTTCAAAGGCTGCAAAATCAATTTCAGACTCAATTGGGCATAGCCCAATAGTCAAATTCCAACATTCACCTGAGCAGAGTTCAATTGTCAAGTCTGAGTGGTTCTACCACTGGGCAAGTATCCTTCCTCCCAGACCCATGAGCCTGGGGTTTCAGATACTACCCAAATCCAGGCAGGCATCCTACATGTAAGCTTTAAGTTTGAAGGCCTTGGGGTTCAAATGACCTCAGTTTCACATGATCTTAGCCAAAATTAGTCCAAAGCCAAAGGCTTGCAATTTACCATATAGTTCAATGGTCTGGACCCCAGCAGAGTTGACAGAATTTCAAGCAACAGGGACCCCACAATTCAGCAGTGATCAGTAAGGGTATTTATATGTGTGCTCCTCGAGCTGGGGGGAAAACACTTTAATTAGAGCAGCTGCAAGAGCTGCTCTAATTAAAGCACCCTAAGCGGTTTATGTATCAGCAAGCCCATGCTTAAAAATGGCAGCAGGGCGCTTTAACTAAAGCTCATTCAATGAGCTTTAGTTAAAGTGCACCTGCCACTATTTTTAAGCGTGGGTTTGCTGATACACAAGATGCTAGAGTCTGCTGGAGCGCAGATAATTACTACACTCCATTGCCACTCAATTAAATACACAAGCCTTGCTGCTCACGTATAGGTGCCCTATGCATGTACTCCAGATACACCCCCCAAGGGATCCAGGTGCTAATTAGTTCCCCTACCGCCCCATGCATGACTGGAACTAAGTGTTCTTGTCATGAGTCCTGGGATGCTCCAAAAAATTATATGCAGCTGAGGCGCAGGGCAACCTGTTTACCTCATGGGAGGCAGCACCACACTAGTGACATGCAACAGGCTGAAAGAGGATGATAGAAGGCTTCTGGGGCCCCCACTTGGTGATGTTTGCCAGGAATTTAAGGCTGAAGAAACGGTAATCACTGGAAATGGGAAGAAAGATGCAGCTCAGCTGTCCTCAGGGAAGAAGAAGTCAAAATGTATTCAATGTAGTGGGCTCACCATGACTTGAAAGAGTTGGCACTGAGGGGGATTGTGCTTAATGGGCACTGCCATATATCTTATTGAGATCGACTTCACTGGCCTGTCCTTGTGGTAGGTTCCCATCAGTACTTTGGGCACTGGGGGAGCGTGTCAGAGCTTGCTACAGCCTCTCAGAGTACCATCCTAGTAATGCAGTACCTTGCTCCCTTCCTAGGAGGAATTGGTTGTCTGTCTTTCTTTCTTTTTTTTTTTTCTTTTTTTTTGAAGGGCCACACAAAAGGGTTCCATCAGCATGTTTGCCCAATATGTTTTATAGTCATGTTCAGTGTTGGCTGTTTTTAATCAACTTCATAGTTGATTTCTACTGCTGAACACATGCTGCTTTTGGCAGCAGTTACATGATAAACAATGTATTTGATAAGGCTTCCTTGTATGCGATTATAAAGATGAGGGGCTTTTTCCCACATGCCAATTGGAGGGGGAACCTCATCTTGTATCTGAATAAAAACAATTTTTTTTTTTTCAAGGAAAAGTTTAATGTGGTGCCTTTAGGCATGAGGACTTTTCTTTTGCTACCATACCGTGCATCAGTTGGACACTACTTTCTACTGGCAGCAACATTTCATGAAGGTGTAAACACATAAATAACTAGTACTTTTAAATCCTTTAGAATGAAGTATAATATGAAATACCCTCACAGTAACATCACTGTGACTCTAGGACATGGTTTTGAACCTCTAACTTATGGACACTGCTCTCAGCAAAACACAATATTGCACTGCCTACAAATATACCATATTTACTTACAACGCACCTTTTTTCTGAAAACTAGATGTTTGAAATTGAGGTGCGTCTTAAATGAGGGCCCAATTCTGCAGGAGCCATGCTGCCCAGCCTGTTTGAGCCAGACGGGGAGCCAGTGGCACCTGCTGAGTCAGCTGAAGGACTACCCAGGTAGGATAAAAGGACCTGGCACTTCTGCTCCATCAGGCCCTCAGCTGATTCAGCAGGTGCTGCTAGCTGAGCCCTGAACTGCCTGGCTCCACTTAACAAGCTGGGTAGATACTTGGCTTGGCAGGTGCTCCTAGTTGCCCACTCAGTTTGAAGAGGGGCCAGACCAGCTCCAACAGAACCTGCCCCTCAGCTGAGGGGACAGGTGTCAATGTCTGTGCCAAATAGCTTTCTTTTCTTCTTGAGCTGAACTGGGTTGGCAGGCACAGCAGCACTTGCCAGGTTAGCTGAGAGCTCAATCCTTCCAGAGCCAAAAAGCATATCTAGCCCCTCTACTCAAGCTAGGTGGGCACTCACTTGACACCACAGGTGATGCTGGCTAGTGTCAAGCCCTCAGCTGACCTGGTACGCACTGCTGGGTGCAGACACAGCTCAGCTCAAGAAAAGGGGCCTGGCAGTTCAGTACAGCCAGCAACACCTGCCCTGTCCTACAGCTATAGGATGAAGAGAGCAGCCACAGGTTTTTGCTTTCCCCTGCCCCCAGCTGAAGTGCAGCTTGCCTACATTTTCTCTGTGAAAACATTGTACTTAAAAGGAAAGGTCTGTTTTCGAAGGGTGGAATAAAGGAAAAGAGGTGTGCATCTCATTTAGGAGAGGGACATGTGATATTAAACACAGGTTGTGTGCTAAATTTGCATTTGGTTTTTCAAATAGCCGAAGTCAGCAGAAGCTTTGTTACCTACAGTTTGAACCACCATTTCTCTATATGTTCTTCATGCTCTTCTACCATGTTGTTGCATTCAAAGTTACTGCTGTCACACAGGTTTTCTATGATTTCTACAAGACGGATTTCACTAGAAATGAGGGAAGGAAAGCCACAAGTTACTTTTAAAGAAAACATATGATCAGAAAGTATCTAGACATCGACCCCTAAAAGTTTGGTATGTTATCAGGTTTTTGTCTCATCTGGGCCAGTTCTGTGATAAAGGCAGTTTTATGGAATCACTTGTTAAAAAAGAATTAGCAGACATTGCATTGAATCAAAATGCCAAATTACATAAAATCAAATTTTTTTTTAATACAGATTTTTACAGGTTCTTCTAATAAAAGATACATAAGCCTATGTCGGGCAATACAAGCCCATCAACCTGCTAATAACTCGCATCTCTAAGAGTTCTTCGTTTGCACTGCAGTACTCAAACTGAAATTCAATACCAGATATGCAAATTAGAAGAAAGACCAAAGTTGAAACTAGCAGATATCTGATGATACATATCGAGGAAATACATGTATGTTCTTAATTTTGGGGGGAAAAAATAAGGAAAGTCTGTGTCTTTGGATAACTCTTCTCTGGAGGTCCCTTCCAGCTCTACTTCTCTATGATTCAATGAAACCTCCAATATACGGAGTTTAAGGCTTCTCTGACAGTCTGGAGAGAAATCCATGAGATCAACTGACTAAAATGTATTCAGAGGGCTGAGGGTAGGTGTCTTATGTAGAGTTTGGACTATTGAGCATACAGGGGTCATGACCAAGAAGTGGGTTGCAAGACTACATGAAAGAGTTGCAAACAAACTTTAAAAATGGATTCTCCGTTGAAGGAGAAAAACGTGGGCAATCCTGGCTTTTCCCTTGCAGGCTGGCAGAGTTCCAGCCTGCGAGGGGCTGCTTCAAGAATCCCATGTCCCGCACAGCCCCCCCTACCCCACACACTAGGGCGGTGGGCAGTGGGTCAGGAGTGAGCAGCACTGGGTTGGGACTGGCTACTGATGTTTACAAATGTGTCTTGGCACAAAAGGCATTTTGATTGCCACTGCATTAGATGACCTCTGGAGGTTCCTTCCAGCCCCACACCTCCAAGTTTCTATGACTTAACGGCTGAGAATGTGGAGCTTTGCTTTCCACGGTTGTCACTGCTAACCAAAATGCAGAGGCTAAATGCTGAGCTACAGCCTCCCTCACCAGCTGCAAGCCTGGGTGGGCGTGAGCTGCGGGACAGGAAAAAAAATAAAGCAGCAATGAACACTCAGAAGTTCAAGGACGTGGCGGCTTTGCTCGTGAGCTTGGCTCTGGCACAGACCAGCCACGGAGCTGCAAGGCAGGTGCTGCCAGCTGCTCTTACCTGGATTCGTACTTGGAGAGCGCCCTCTCCTCCCATGCGGTATTGCCACCCCCGAAGTTCTTCCTGGCAGTGTCCACCAAGCCCTGTGGGGGGACAGGAAGGAAACCCCGCTTCAGGCGCAGCCCAGAACAGTGGCTCCTGCACCTACGGCCTCGATGGATGCTCCCCTCACCCGCAGAGACAGGGGGAGGGGAGAGAGGGGAGCTGATGAGGCAGGGTGGCAGGAGGAGGGAGCAACAGGGATGATAGGGGGCAGAGTGACTAGGGGAGAGTGAAGAGGTCATAGGAGGGAATGGGGGGGTAGGGGCCACTGGGGTAACAAGAGGAGAGCTCATG